TCTTGCACACAAAAGGTAACAAAGAGAAACTAGAAACATCAGACATTATTTAGATCAAAAGTAACTTTAAAGAAAACAGTTCAGTTTAGAAAAATGAGCTCAGGTTCAAAGGCCATGGTCAGGAGAGCACTTCTTCTTGCTACATGAGAAAGGGTGGTTGTGTTTGTTTACCTGCAGGATGCAGGCAGCATAAAGAAGTGGCTGCACATTGTCCACAGTTAGGGTGAGTTTGGAGGAATAGGCAAAGTGCACCAGGTCCTGGATGGCATCTCCATCAAAGTCTTTAATTTCTATGAGTTCCTGTTTGGCCTCAGACATATCTGACAGAAACATTGCCCTGGATAAAGAAAAAAAAAACACCATAACACAAGATGTAGTGAGATATTGTTACATCCTTTATGTCTGTCTAAACAAGAACAAGAAAAATACAGAATAATCTGAACACACCTGAAGTAAGGGATTACACAGGCAAGTACTAGCTTGTGGCATGGTATCAATCTACTGCCAACCTATTAGAAGAGAGAGAGATGCAGAATACATAATGCAGGAAACGGATGCTGATTTTCACACAAAATCTAAATACAGACACATTTTCCACTGATTTACTGTGGAAATAGAAAATATTAGTAATATCTAAACTACACAACTGTTTTTTTTTTTCAAAATCACAGAAAGCTTAAGATTTAGGCAAATAAAACCAGTCTGTCTCTTTCCATGACAAAGAGGTCTACCTTCAGCGTGACATCACAGAGCTCTCCAACTTCATAGAAATGTCTGAGGGAGTTGTGGAAGTCCTTCCAGGCTTCATGAGCCTCAAAAACAAAGGACCCATCAGGTTCACATTCTGCTTTTGATGCCCTGTTTCCAGGACGCTTGTCCTTGGATTTCAGCTGCTTGGCATTATCTGGCACCACATCCCCTGGTGCCATGGTGGGCTACAGAAAATCAACCCTACAAGACAGGAAAAAACAACATCCAAAGAATAAAGGCACATTATCATGTAACAGTGGGTAATATGAAAAATTACAATGTAAAAAAAATATGTTCAAATATATATATTCTCTCTCTCTCTCATAAACTGTCTACAATGTGTCTAAAATGTTATATAGTACTGTTTCTGTGCTAATTTTGATGTTTTTGTGYGTATTTGTTCAAATCTRTAATATTTGGTCTAAAAAYRTCTTTTTGCTGCTCATATRGGTAGAGCAGTGGTACTGCAGGCTAATTTGCATATTGGTTAACGGCTCTCCTCTGTGACGTGGTTCTGCACAGTTTCGTCACAGCGGCTGTGTTCTGGTATAAAAGCCTCTCTCTAAGACACGCCCCTGCAGCAGTCAGAGGGTGGAACAGTTAGCAAGCTTAGCATGATCGTCTGTTGACCTTCAGCCTCGGGTGGGGAGAGCTGACTGCTGCGCTTCTCTCTCTCCACACAAACACACACACACACACACACACACACACACACACACACACACACACGAGTTGTAAGGATTTTTTTTGCAAAATTTATGGATTTTTAGGGCTCTTTATACAGGTAAACGTCCAAAGAGTTTGACATGGAACCGGACCGAACTTCAGTCAAACAAGACCCAACACTTTTATTCATGTTTTAAACTAGTGATCTTGTGAGCAGCTGCACCTGTATGCTTTTATTTTTTTCTGTCAGGCTGTCGGAGCACTCCACCTCCTCTGTCCCATGCTGTGGTCACTCTCAATGTAGCATCAATTATGCTAATGCTAGCTGCCTGTCACGTTCTCTCGTCCTGGCCACACCTCCGCTCTCTAACCCCGCCTTCCCCACCCACACCCCCTCCCCTACCCACTTTGATGCATTTTTCAAATTTCGCCTTGGGGTGGAGTTATCTTTAAGCGGGTGGGGTGGGGGGGGAGATAAACTTTAAGGCTGCCCTTGAACACTTAGCATAAAAGGCTTTTATTTTGGAATTCATTTTCTAAAGCTATGAAGTCTTTCTGTCACCACCTCAATCAGTCCCACTGTTAGGTTGACTTTACCTGCATCTACAATTTTAAGTCTCAGCACAGAGTCTTTATTACATTTTAAACATGGCTCTGATTTTTATATTTTCCACTTCAAGGAGGTCTGTGAAAATTTATAAATGTAGTCAGGGTTGGAACTGGGTTACAGTCCAAACAGTGACTCCCTGTGTGGATTGTGCTCCATAAAACTGCAGATTCAACACAAGATAATGCTTCTGATTGTGGGAACTAAACCATTTAAGATTTTTGTTACACTTTTAGAAAGTGCAATTATTTCTTTAGAGCCATCGTACTATAAATACTATATCTGAGGAGAAATTAAAAATGATTTATTTTCTAAGATGGTTTTGGTCTCATTTTTTTTTTTACTAGTTTCCTTCTCACACAGATGCACACATTAAAAGGACAGTATATCTATTTTATGACAGCTCTTTCTTCGATTGCTTGATAGTGTGGCTCTACAGTGGTAGTAAGTAATAAAGTAGTAATAAATTAAAAGCAGCAGGATTGTAAATATGCACTTTGCACAACTAATAAAAGAACTGTATGACTGTGAAAATGGCTAAATGTAATTTTTAAACTTTTCTAAATGACATTTTACAGCCATGCTCAATTTGAACAGTAAAAATAAATAGATCTGGTTTGTTCCACATTATCTACACTGAGTGCAAACCATCAAACTTTTTCCAAGTAAGTCCAAAACAGTGGAGGCAGATGCAAAGATGTGAAAGTTCAGTCAGTATCCTTCGTGTTACGTTTCATTCAGACATTCTGCAAAGACTGGAGCCAAATGTGGAAAAAAGAGCAACTAGTTTTCACCAAGCCAACAAAAAGCTCTTTAAACAAAAGATCCTACCTGCTGCTGAAACTGGTGATCAATCTCCTAAGTTGGTTTGTCTTTAGAAGAGTGAGAGCAGACAACCAGCTCAGACGCCAAAGTACACACACCTCACAGATGTCAGACTGCATCTTTTAAGCTTAGCCTCTAACACTGAATAGACTCAGTGTATCAGCCCTCATCACTAGTCCTCTCAGCTATCAGGGAGCAGAAAACATCCAGTCCCACCACATCCACTAATGATCAGAGGCATCTTTCACTTCTGTTTGACAACGATCATAGTCTTACCACATACAGAGATGGACCTCTTCACTAAGCAACACAGCACACCCCATGAGAAGAGTATGCACTCAATGCTGTTATGTCTTCACTTCTGTTCTGACAACATAAAAACATAAGTGCTGGAAAATAAAATGCTGGCACGGCCCTTTAGGTTAAATTTTCCATTAGCAGAGTACATATTATGAAGAAGCTGCACTGCAGAATGTAATTATTTTCCAATATAGGCGACATACCACTGAGTTTTTAAACTGAAAGAAAAAAAAAGTCATAATTGCATTTGATGCAAGCAACACATTTGAAAAGAACAAACAAGAATCTCATGATTCTGACTTGTTTTTCTTCACCCATCATAATTTTCCTGTAGGAAAAGATATGTTTAATAAACTGACAATCAAAAGCTGACACCCTTTAAAACATTTGGTCCATTTACTTCACAAAAAATAGTTAAAATCCCTGCATACCATTACCAAACCGAATATGAAACATTTCAGTTTAAAATGACTATATCTGTTTAGAAATTATAAATACGAAGTTGAATCAAATGACACAAGTTTCTGTCATCCAACTGATACTTTAGTTTTCACAGCTGATCTGTCATTTATTTGCTGTGTTTTATTTAGATTACAGCCTGATGTTTATTTACATTTCATGAAAAACAACAAAAAAAGAAGCTAATCTGCCATGACAGAGAACTGCATTGGTTGCCTTTTTTAATTTTCGTACAAGACATAAACATATTAAGTGACATTCTATTTTTAGTGATCAATACAGCTAAACTCTTTCATATGCTGATGTGTCCAAAATAAAGCACCTTCCTGCAAGCTGCTGTAGTTATTCTTGCTTGTCAATACTTGACAAATACGTTTGTAGTCCCCCCCATGACAAAATAAGTTATAGCCTAAACAAAAATAAAGCTGATATAATTTGACGACTTTTAAGTTACAGTTGTAAAAATCAGAGAAATAGATATAATACTCAAACGATGTTAAAGGTTTCATTAGCTAAATAATTTAATCAAGCAAGTTTGTCAAGCAAAGCGAGTATAACCTAGTTAAACACCCTAACAAAACGTTTAAAGACACGCTCAATAAACAATAAGAACACAGGTAAAATGACGCGTTTCGATGAGAAAGATAAAGATAAATACAACCAGGCTAACTGTGGATTTACTGTTAGCTTGTTTGCTAGCATCGGCATGACAGTTGTTACCTGACAGGAAACGACGGGGATTCAACAAGAAGAATGTGGCGAAAACAAAACCCAGAAGAGTACCAATTTAATTTAAGCATTGACTAATTGTTTGATGAATTCAAAAAAATATTAAAGGTTAAATACCTCATGTCGCAGCGAGAATTAAAATGCCGGCTTGTTTAGGGTAAGAGAAGCACGTTTGTAGCGAGCCGTGGTGCTTTATGGGTAATGTAGTCTTGGACGGTTTCTCTATTTAACAAGACGATTCTGTCAATGAACTTGTGAATTTCTCATTAGTAGGCTGATTTGAACTGTACATATTAAAAACAAATTTATGTTAACATACTATTTCAAAAGATAAATACAACTAATACCTAAATGTCCAATCTAAACGTTCAATATTAATTTTAATTAAAACTGTGATGAGCAATCCTGGTCTTCCAGGCTACACACCTGACTTGGATAAATAGGTGATTATCAGGCCTCTGCAGATTTACATAAATCTGAAAGCAACCCTGTAAAAGACAAATCAAAAAGCCTATCCCACACCCTCCCCAAAAGCATTTTACATCACACCAGCCATTCAGAATATCTATAAATACTTAAAATACTAATTAAATTGTTTATGTCCAAGCATAAAATACCTGACTCTTTGCTTGATAACGTGTTACAATGTGGCCAGAAACATTTATAACTTAGATGGTCAAATTTAATATTGCAAAAAAATAAATAAATATATATATACAAAGACCTACTTCGATTCATGGATAATGAGAAAAACACAAGGTTCAAAGTTGCTCTCTGAGTAAACAAATTATTTTGCACTTTGGTCTGACTGAAAATAAATTTCCTGTAGATAACACTGACAATTAAGTTCAGCCCACAGTGTGTCACATTCACAGTAAGGAAACATCATGGGTGTAACAACACATTGTAGACCTATAATGTGTGGTCAAATCTTGTAAAATTACATCTTAACAACTCTCTTACACGCTGAAGGAATTCAGCAGTTTTAGACTGGAGTCTGAAAATTTCCTGCTACAATTTGATAACAAGGAATTCTGAGTAAAGGTCACAAATTTCACTCCATTTTATACACATATAAAAGAGGAATAAAACAAAAAATTAGCTTTACAAAAACACATCCAAGTTCATGGTTTCGAAATTGTCCAGCTAAGCTAACTGTACCTAGCAGTGCTATAATAGTGTAACCATGAAGAAATCTAAAACACTGTCACAGTATTCGGGCTCATTCATGCCACATATTTTGAGTTTAACACAATAGTGTAAAAACTGCACAGTTCATAAAGATGATTTATTTTTGAAAAGTGTACAATTCATTTGCCAATAAAAAGAAAATACAATTTTTACAGACTTCTTAAATGTACAATATTTGTTTTTCTACTTGTACTGCTTCCTCTTCTTCAGGAGGGCGGCCTGCAGAGCCAACTACACGAGAGAAATTGAAGCAACTTTGTTATGTATGGTCAAGAAAAGTTGGTAAATTCAGTGTGTAGATGTGCGCTACCTGTTTCTCTCTGAAGGAGCGTTTGCCTTTAGTTCGGACGTTCTGACTGTGTCTCATCATCATGAAGTTCTTCTTTCTCTTTTTCTCCTTGTTGCTGGTGCTGGCGTAGGGGTTTAGCTTCGTCCGCTTTCTAACAAAGTCTTTTCGGTCAGTTCGTCCTGCCTGCAGATGAAACGCATCGAAAGTGAAACTACTGGTCAATATTCAACAGTAATAATCTCTCGTTTAAACAGTAAAAAAAAAAAAGTAATGTACATTTAAAATCAAAAAAAGTAACTTTTACCATTGCAGTTGCCAGCCGTGTTTCTTTATCAGATTTAGGTTTTTTATGCAGTTTTTCAATATCTCTCAGCGTCAGCAGCTCCCCTCTGACATATGGGAAAGAAAAGGTTTTCATTAATCTTAAAGTTAATTTAGGACTTGACAGAGAAAATGTTTCCCCATAAATTTATTATTAAATCTTTTTTTTTCTCCTCACTTGTCGCTCTCTTCATCGCCGTCCACCATTTTTCTCTTCTGGCCCTTCCCTGGAGCAGAGTTGATTTCTTTGGCCATCTGAGCCAGACGGATTTTTTTGAAGTCATCTTGAGTGAGGAGCCTGCTACCGCTGACTGCTGCTGCCTTGGCGTGTCTCTCCTCAGCTGGGATGCTTTGAAGTTTCTCAGCCTTTCAATAATAAATGTATTCACAAGTTTTCAGGTGGAGCTTCACTTTTTTTTTGTTACAAAGTTTCTGCATACTGTCAATTTATTTCTCACCACTTCTCCTGCTTCTTCATCAGACGAATGGTGGACATCCACCCAGTCACCATCCTCATCATCATCACTGATACTGGCACTCTCCCAGCCCTCTATAGAAGGACACACAAACCTGATGCACATCACTTATTCTCACAGTAAGAACAATGGAAACAGATTCTACAGTCTGCAAACGTGACGCATTCCTGTGGATTCGAACAGGCAGCAGCTGACCTTCATCCTCCTCTTCCTCTTTGTTCTCCTCCTCCACAGCCAGGACTTCAGCTCCAGGGATGTAATCTTTGGCCTCGAGTTCTCCGTAGTCTTTTATTTTGGCATCTGCTGACGCCTCCGTGGGTTTCCCCTACGCAGCCAGTTTCGATTTGCAATAAAAGAGAAACAGCTTTGTGAGTTCCTGGAACTGAAAATGATTGTTTGGGATTTTATTTGATGATGGCAACAATGGAAACTCGTGAAATGATTTCAGATTTGGTTATTTTATATTTTCGTTTTGATGCATGTGTTTGTTTTTTCCCGTTGTTGTGCATGTTTTAGAGAAGACATGCGTGTTTTATTATTCTACAAGTGTCTTTGTAAACATTATAAATTTATAATTAGACACATTTCGTGTATACATTATGTTTTATTTTATTCATGGAATCTGAATTTTTCTCATGTATTTTCTGTAATAAGACAAAATCTGTAAAGTTGATATAATTTTTTGGGCTGACGTGTGCATTTTAAGCTTCATTCACTCTAAATATTTTCAGTGTTTTATAAGGTAACACAAAATGATACTTGAACAAAAGTACAAGTATCTTACCAAAAAATTACTTTGGTAAAAGTTAAAGTGTACTTTACGAATATTACTTGAGTAAAAGTTTTAAAGTATCTGATAAAAAAAATGAGCAGTAAGATTTTCAGTAATGACATTTATTAGGAGATAACCTCCCCAA